CTGTTTACCCGATTTGCGGTCGGGTTACTACTTTGAACCTGAGTTATGCAACAGTCCAGAGCTATGATCTTATCAAGCTTATTAGCCAATGTCCTAAATTGCAGCGCCTCTGGGTGAGTCACCACTTTAACATAAACTAGATTTTGATCCGCCTTTTGGATTATTTTTGTTTTCACAATTTTTTTAATAGAAATTATAATGCATGGGAAATAATGTGTAAATTAGTTCATTTTAACATTTTGCTTCAAGGCCAACCTTATATATAACTGTGGTGATTTGACTTATTGACACAGGTGCTTGACTACATCGAAGACGCTGGTCTTGAGGTGCTTGCTTCAACTTGCAAGGACCTTAGAGAGCTGAGAGTGTTTCCCTCTGAGCCTTTTGTCGGGGAGCCAAACGTCGCATTGACAGAAGAAGGGCTTGTCTCCGTCTCCGCGGGATGTCCAAAACTCGAGTCGGTTCTCTACTTTTGCCGTCAAATGACCAACGATGCGTTGGTAACCATTGCTATGAACCGTCCCAACATGACTCGCTTCCGTTTGTGCATCATTGAGCCGAAAGCCCCTGACTATCTCACACTAGAGCCACTTGATGTGGGATTTGGAGCCATTGTAGAACACTGCAAAGATCTCCGGCGGCTCTCCTTATCAGGGCTCTTGACGGATAAGGTTTTCGAATACATTGGGACGTATGCAAAGAAGATGGAGATGCTCTCAGTGGCGTTTGCAGGAGACAGTGACTTAGGGATGCATCATGTTTTGTCAGGGTGCGAGAGCCTGAGGAAACTAGAGATAAGGGACTGTCCGTTTGGAGACAAGGCGCTATTGGCCAATGCTTCAAAGCTGGAGACAATGCGATCTCTTTGGATGTCTTCTTGTTCCGTGAGTTTTGGAGCCTGTAAGTTATTAGGACAGAAGATGCCAAAGCTCAATGTGGAAGTCATCGATGAGCGGGGTCCACCTGACTCGAGACCCGAGAGCTGCCCTGTTGAGAGAGTGTTCATATACCGAACAGTGGCGGGTCCTCGGTTTGACATGCCTGGTTTTGTCTGGAACATGGACCAACACTCAACAATGAGGTTTTCCAGGCAGATCATCACTACTAACGGGTTATGAAAAACAAAAAACTAAACGAGGTACGTTGTTTCATTAAATCCTTACTCGTCATCTCCCATATGAACCGTTCTAGTTTAGAAACGCGGAGAGAGAGAGAGAGTAAGAGCTTGGCCGCAATTACTTTAATTATGAGCTGCTTCATGAAACCACCAAGCTCATGAGCAACGAGTAACAGAGAGAGGGAGAGAGATTCGAGAGACCTTTTTATATATCTATTGTTGTCTGTTTGTTTGTCTATTTACTGGTAGGGTATTATTTTCTTCAGAGGATTATGTTAAGAGATTTTTGTAAAAGACAATAATGTCAAAAATGTAACTGCTCTACTTGTTTTGACTCGTATTTAATATTTTTCAAATGTTTTAATCTCTGTCTTTGCCCAATTTTATTTGTCCGTTAGAGAAATGGCTGTTTGCAGGTTGTTTTTTGGGTTAAGGAATAGCACACAGTTCTTTAATTTCAGGGCCCTAGACGCTTGTTACCAGAAAGAATAGTTGCAGTTTTGTGACTAGAGGATAAAGAGAATCCAAAGTAAAGAAATCTTGCTTTTAGTTCGAACATCTTGTTTTAGCAACTAACTTTGAAATTGGGTTTAAACTTTTTAACTGGTTTTCTATTATCGATAGAAAATTTCACGATAATCTTCACTCAACGCTAGAAAATCAAAATAAAGGCGTATATCACTAGCCAAGACATAGTAGGATACAAGACATCCAAGAGATTTGGGCTATAAGACAAGTACCCATCTGGATCAACAGATTCAAAGATCCTACACTACAAGTGTCACTAGTGGAATGTATTCTTATGTTCCTAGAGCACAGTTGATGAAGACAAGTCACAAGCTCACACACACCACCACCACCACCACCACCAGTGTATCTTTTGGAATAGAATCTTAACAAATGCAAGTTGTTTAAAGGGTACATACCACAGCTCTTGGCAAATGAAAGAAATAAAAATTACTACACCGAGAAGAAGATTAAGTCAAGAGTTTATTTAAACTCAACAAAGATTGATTGCTATGTAGGCTACAGAGTCTACAAGTCATGACAATGAAACTGTTATTTTTAAATGCTGCCTAATAATAATAATGGTGTCCAACAAGGAGGAGAGTCATATATATGAAAAAAAGGAGGAGCGTTATATATTTCATTTGAGAAAAAGAGAGCAAAAATCAAAAACCGAATAGGAATCTTCCAAAGTCTCTGTCTTTGGGAAATGCAGAATCTGTGTTTCATCGAGTGGAGGATACTAGCAGTACGTAGCACCACCCATAAGTCAGCTTAGTGTTCCGTTACCATCAGCTCCTTCTTAATCTTATTCATGTTTATTTTTGGAAAAAATATTAGAGGCTTAGACCAAATAGAATAGGATTTGTCGGATAATATATACGTATTTAGTCACCCTTTTAATGCATCATGTTAACTACTGTAAATTCTTTTTTAAAAGTTGGGATGCTCAGCTTAGAACAAAGTTGAATTCCTCTAGTGTGAGGATGATGCATATCAGCATATGATTAGATCATTGGGAATGCATTTCTCAAAGTTAAGAATCTTTGGATCCTACTGATAAAGACAGCAAGTGAAGATAGTTTTTACACGTCCCTTTGATACCGTTTAGATTCTCTCTCAAAAGATCCCCAGTGAACTCGGAAAGTAAAAAAAGCACATACAGTATCTCCCCACCAATCATCATTCAGAGAAATAAAACTTATGCCGTTTTTTTTTTTTGAACTGAAAAACTTATGCAGTTTCTTTACAAAATACAACTTATTTTGTTTAGTCTCTTTTTTACATCATTTTGTTTATTCATATATTTGTCTGACTAACAAATTATTGTTTTTTTGGGGTGTACAAGAGGAATTCAACATTATCAGATTCATCTTCAAGTAGTTTTGCGGTTGCGAATGAAATTTAATAAAATGAAAGAGGATTTATCGTGATAAGAAGTGAACATAGAGACTGAATTGTTCCTAAAACTATCAAGTATTTCAAGTTTCAGTCACTTATTCCTCACATCAGTTTAAGATGTGTTGATATAGCATGGACCTTCTTATGCGCGGCATTGTGAGGAAGAAAATCGTTATTGTCTATATCTGATTATACGATCTTTATCATAATTCCCTAGACACGTTTGTTTCCTCAGCTCAAATATACAAAGCAACAATACTGATAAAAATCAAGAGACTGCGGGTTTTTTTTTGTTTTTTTTTAGACGTTGATTCTCTTGTTTATTATACGTGCATTATGTTCAGAAACTTCTACAGAAATGTATCTTCAGTCTAATACATTGTACATGCTTCTATATATATACATATCTATTTATTTTCTTTTAGTAATTTATTTTATATGTTTTCCTGCTTTTTCTATGTGATATGGAAGCCCCTGTGACCAAGATTTTTAAACATGTTTTGGGGTTCAATTTTAGAGGATGCAATTTTGTGGAGTTTATAAGATACAAAGCTTATCAGAAGTTCAAGAATGCTGCAAACAAAGCTGTTCACTATAATTGTGTGTTGCAAAGGAGAAAATGGCTGATTCCCCCATGAATTAATGGTTCCCACTTTTTTTTTCTTATACAAATTTCTAGTCTATGTTGAAATCCACATGAACAATTCCATTTTTTTGAATTTCATACACGGACTTTTAGCACATGCAGAAATCCACACGAACAATTCTGATTTTTAAATTTCATACACGAACTATCAATTTTAAACTAATTGACACAAAATTATAAACCGTTTTAATATCCGCTAAATAGAGAGTCGGTTTAATTTGGGTTAAATAAAACGAATATGAATACGATGTCGTTATGGATTATTTTGAATCGTTTTAAGGTTTCTAATATGATGTCTTTTGGATTAGAAAATGAATACAACGTCGTTGGTCTGTGTTGTGAAAACAAATATGAAAACCTAATCCCCAATTTAAAAAGGCGAACAAACGATGTTGTTCCCTATTTTGTTAATGAGAATTCATTAAAATGACGTTATATTCATTTAATTTAAATCCAAATTAAACCGGTTCTCCACTTCTTAAAGGATACGAACACCGTACCGTTTATGGGTTTATGGCAATTAGTTTAAAATTGATAGTTTGTGTATGAAATGCAAAAAACGGATTTGTTCGTGTGGGTTTCGGCATGTGCTAAAAGTTTGTGTATAAAATAAAAAAAATGGAGTTGTTCATGTGGATTTTGGCATGGACTAAAAGTTTGTGTATGAAAAAACCGGGAGCAATTAACTCATAGAGAAATCAACCATTTTTTATGTTGCAAAGAGAGTATGTCCATCAAAATGTCATATATGCTGAACTTTTTGTTGATCCAAGTGTTACAGGGAAAACTGAATCGTCGAAGCGTTGTTTGTAAAATTGTTCATTAGTATCACATATGTTGCAAGATGTTGCAAGTAGTTTGATCATCATATATAATAGAAATAGAGATTATTCTATAATGTATTTGAGATTTGACAAGTGTTTTAAAAGAACTTACTATCTGATCATTTTAATTAACCGACCTTAGTGTTCTCATTAGGATCATTTTATGAATGTGATAATGATAGTATTTACGATAGGAAAATATTTAAACTGAAAGGCAATATAACATTTGAAATACAATTTTATCCATTACAACAGATAACACAGCAGTACATCCTCTGATTAGTTAAGCTGGGAAATACAAAGCTAGCTAATTATTTTCTTAAACATGAGCTAAACAAAAATATAAAAATTAGCTATATATACCTAATTTTTATATTTTGAGCTCATGTCTATATAAGATTATGATACACATTTAAGTGTGTGATCTTTCCATCATTATTTACTATCCAATCTTAACATACAGCAATTATCTTTCTTTTTCTTAGAGATTCTTTATTATTTCTAGCTAGTTATGAGATAACTGATACGGCTTGATCAAGGGTACGAGAGAGCCACTTAGGTGAAGCGACATGACTTCATTGGTAGAACCCACCAGCTTACCACTTACAAAAACAGCAGGAACTGCGTTGGGGCAGCCAAGACGGACTAAGGCCTTCTCGATCTCGACGCAGTCAGGATCGTTGTCAATCTCGTGGATTGTGGGTTGAACCCTAAGGTCACGGAAAAGTATCTGCACGGCGTAGCAAAGACAACATGAGTTTTTGGTGAAGAGCACAACTCCTTTCCCTGATGACATTCTCATCACCTTATCCATGATCAGATTCTGATCTTGCGGCTCCTAACGGTCGAGATATTATGTATCTTTAGCAATTTGAATTATGTTTGTTTGTTCATTTGAAAACTTATGACCTGCTAGGGCTTTTTATAGGAAGGCAAGATAGTGCAAGATCTTTCGGTTTAGTATTCTTCTTTTCCCTTTTAACATATAATTTTGTTCTTTTAAAAAAAAAAACATGAAAAAGGGAAAACAGATTCCTTTCGAAGAATTAAAGCGGCTTTGCGAGAAAATACCTTTTTAATATGTTCTGTTTCGATGTACAAGTTGGAGGAAAATAATTATGTAAAATGCTTCATTTGGCATCTATATTACTGCAGAATGGAACGATCATCATTTTTTTTGGTAAAAGGTTAAATGGAACGATCACAATTAACTAAGCATACGATTCGAGAGGTTATTTGAGTCCACTGTAATGACGTGGAATAAACAATATCGTATTAGTGGATCTGAATGCAAACGAGTGAACAATACACGCCTTGTTTGCATGCATGCTTTGTCACATATATACTCTTTTTTTTTGTAACTGAACATATATACTCTTTTTATGACGAATCTTTTTGATAATGAAAGATTAAGATTACTAGTTATATTAATCACGTTAAATGAAGCAGTAGTTAAATTATGTAAGTTTGTTTAGAACTTGTCGACTAGAGAGAGACTAAGGAAAATCACATATATAATAATATAATATGTCGACCATAGTCACCATACAAGCAAATACTTGATGTATTTTTGTCCCATAGACTAAAGGGATAGCTTGATGGTTGATGTAAAACACTCCCATTTAATTCTTTTTGGCATTACCACACTTATCTCTATAATTTCTATATTCATATTTTTCTTCTTCTTGTTGTATTTATCACTCAGAGACTTCCATATTTAAGAAATTTACGTTGGAGATCTCTCAAATTATATTTCTCATAAAAATAATAATATCTTAGTAGTAAAGCATCTCAACAGTTTGAAAAACTC